GGGCACCGAGCTGCTGGCGCGCACTGCCCGGGCCTTTGCGGGGGCGAACCCGGACCCGGTCTTGGCGGCGCTGGACGAGAAGAGCGCCTGCGGGACCGCGCGCCGCGAGGCTTGCCTGGGCGAGCTGGAGGAGGCGGCGCCGGAGCTCCTCCCCTTCGCAGACCTTTTCTGCCGGCGCCGCTCCCAGTATTATTTCTGGGGCACAGGCGGGGACTGCCGCCGCTTGGGCTCCGCGGGCGGAGTAGACCAGGGGGGCCCGCTGGCGCCCCTCCTCTTCGCCTGCGGCCTCCGCCCCCCCTGCGGGCGCTCGAAGACGCGCTGAAGGCGAGGGCGGCCGCCCTCGGCTCGCGGGCAGACGAAGTTCGCGTTTTGGCTTACCTGGGCGACGTGATCGTCCTTGCGCCGCCCGCTCTGGCCGGCGAGGTCGAGGCGACTGCAGAGGCCACCCTGGGGCCACTGGGGCTCGAACTGCAGCGGCGGAAGACGCAGGCCTGGTCTCCCCGCTCGCCCTGCTCGCCGGGGCTGGAAGCACGCTGGCGCGCCGACGGCGTCACGCTGCTGGGCGCCCCGCTCTGGGGGGCGCGCTGCCGCCGGGCAAGCTTACGCACCTGCTCAGCGCCAACCCGCCGGCCTGCTCCCGGGGCGCGGCCGCGAACTACGACGACGCGCTCCTCGAGGCTTACCGGGGGCTGACGCGGCTGGGCCCGCTGGCTCCCAAGCAGCGCGCGCAGTGCCGCCTGCCGCTCAGGCTGGGCGGGCGAGGCTTCCGCAGCCAGGAGGAGCTCGCGCCAGCCGCCTGGGCCGCCTCCTGGGCGCAGAGCCTCGCCGGCGTCCGGGAGCGCACGGGGCTGGCGGAGCTGGCTGACCTCGAGACCTCCGGCCTGCCCCTCGCTGCAGCCTGCCGAGAGGCGCTGACCGGGCTGCTGCCGGGCCCGGCAGCCGCGGCGCCGCTGGCCCCAGCAGCCGGGGAGCCGCCGGCCCCAGCGGAGAGGCCGCTGCCCCCTTGGCAGGAGCTCGCCCAAGAAGTCCAGAGGAGACTCACGCGCAGGCTTGATTCAAAAAACTACACAGCCTTGCTGAGCTCCCTGGACGCTGCACGAGGGACAGGCGCTGCTCCGCTCCTGCGGGGGGCCGCGCGCAGGCGCCTGGCAGCTCGCGAACGGCGGGCCGGGCCAGCGGCTGGGCGACGCGGACTACCGCGCGACCGCCCGGGCGCTCCTGGGCCAAGACTGCGCGCCCGCGGGCAGCCGCTGCTGCGCCCGCCTGCGCACTGGCGAGCGGGAGGGGCAGCCCTGCGGCGAGCCGCTCTGCTGCAAGGCGCGGCACGCCTCCTGCTGCGCCTGCGGAGGCGGCACGAAGGCGCGCAGCAGGGATGTCGAGGACGTGTGGGGCCGCATGCGCCAGGAGTGCGGTTTCCGCACGGCCCGACAGGTCCCGGTCCCCGCAGGGCTGGCGCTGGCGCTGGCGCTGCGCCGCGGCCGGCTGCAGGGCGCGCGAGCGGGCGGCGCGCGGCGGGCCGGCTTCTGGCTGGCGCTACGCCGACGCCCCGCCGGGCGGGCCTTGCGGCGCCTGCGGGGGGCCGCTGGAGGTCGAGCGCCAGGAGGCGCTGCTCGACCTGGAGCTGCAGCGCGGCGACTGCCCCCGGGCGCTGGTGGACGTCTCCGTCCGCTACAGCGTTCCGGGGGGCGCGCGCGCTCTCGCCGCGGCCGCGGACGGCGACGGCGCGGTGGCCGCCGAGGGGGGGGCGGACAAGCGCCGCCGCTGCCCCGAGCGGCGCGCCCCCTGGCCGCTGCTCCCGCCGGCCCACGAGACGGCCGGCCGGCTCGGCAAGGCGGCGCTGAGCCACCTGCGCTGGCTCGCCCGGGACCAGGGGCAGGCGCTGGGCGACGGGCCGGAAGCCGAGGCGGCCGCGAGCGCCCTGGCCCGCCGCTGGGGCGCGGAGCTGAGCTGCGCGCTGCACCGTGCCACCGCGCGGCAGCTGCGCAGCTCGCTCGGCCAGGAGCGCGAGCTCGCGGCCCGGGCCGCGCTGGCGGCCGAGCTCGCCGGCTAGCGGGCCGGCCGGCGCCGCTGGGCTGCCGCCGCTGCCGGGCGTGGTGCCGCTGCTCTACACCGTCGTCGCGCTGCTCTTCTTCTTCCGGCAGGTCGCCGCGGTGGTCAGGGGGTGGCATGCGTTGCGGGAAAGACCGTGTCCGCCGTGCCAGGAGGAGGAGGATGAGGAGGAGGAGGAGGAGCAGGAGGAGGAGAAGGAGGAGGAAGAGGAGGAGGAGGAGGAGCTGATGCTGCCGAGAAAAGGTTGGCTACGGAGGCGCCAGCCAAGATGGTCTGTCGACGTTGGCGCCCCCCAGTGGCGTGTCGGTCGAAAGAGGCCGCGCCTCTGGGTTGCCTCATTCATCTTTGCTGTGCTGTTGATTTCTCGAACGACCTGCCTCACATGCTGCCCGCGGCCGTTTTTGCGCGGGCTCCGACGACGCAAGCATGGGAACGGCGCGACCCCCGGTTAGAGGCGCACTTTTCAAGTGACGAGATATGTAACGAATGTCGTGCTTTGCTTTGCTTGGCATTTATTTGCTGTGTTGGGCGCTGCTTGGCGCTGCTTTGTGTTGCTTCGACTCGCTTATTGTTGCTTTACGCTGTTTTTCGTTTCTTGGCGCTTTGCTTGGCATTTATTTGCTGTGTTGGGCGCTGCTTGGCGCTGCTTTGTGTTGCTTCGACTCGCTTATTGTTGCTTTACGCTGTTTTTCGTTTCTTGGCGTTGCTTTGTGTTGCTTTGCGTTGCTTGTCAGGGAGGCAACAAGACCAAGCAACCCAAAGCAGTCGTTATGGAAGCAAAACCAAGCAGCCCTAAGCACGCAGTAAGGAAGCAACGCCAAGCAACCCGGGACTGCACGAAAAAAACCACGCAACCTAGGGGATGCAGTAAAGAAGGACGTTCCAGCATTCGGGGCAGAGCAGTAAGGAAGCAAGGTCAAGCGATCAGGGAGTGCAGTAAGGAAGCAAGACCAAGCAATTGCATGGAATGCACCAAGGTAACAAGACCAAACAACCCGGGAGCGCCACAGTAAGGAAACAGACGGGACCACGCAACCCTGAGGAACGCCAGCTGGCGCAGGCTTTGCACCCACCGGTTCTCCAAAAACACGTACGGTCCGTCAGGTAAAGCTCGACTGATTGGGGAGCACATGCGTTGCTCGCTTAAGTTCACCCTTTGCGACCGCAGGCACGCGAACTTCTCCTCTTGCGAGCACAGGTCAGTCATCGACTTCGCCGCCCCCCCACGAGGGAACAGAAGGAGTGAGCGAGGGAGGCATGCACGGATGAAGGAGCGAAGGAGGGTCTTCCGCCTCCTCCTGCCCCCCCCCGCTCCGACTCGGTCCTGCTTCCTCGTTCCTCCCTCCCCTCCTTCCCCGAATTTCTGCAAGCTGCCCCAGAGGGATGGAGTGAGGCAGGGACTTCCGCCTCCTCCTGCCCCCCCTCCTCCGACTCGGTCCTGCTTCCTCCTTCCTTCCCCTCCTCCTTGCCCGAATCTCTGCAAGCTGCCCCAGAGGCCTCGGTGCCTCGCCGATGATCGCCTCGTCCCTCAAGCAGCTTCAGGTCAGGCACCCTTGAAGCCCAACGCCAAGCTTCGCAGTCCTCTCTTCCCTCCTCCGCCCACCTCTTCTCGCGGACCATGGCCGGGGTCCCGGGCGTTGCCCGAGGTGGCGCTGTCCCAAGGTGCCCCTAGCTCTCCGCGCCATTCTGGAGCCGCTGGGGGCCCCCCTTGGGCGGTGATCTGGAGTCCGCGGGGGGGCCCCCCCCCGGGCCAGGCCCACCCTTGGCAGCGCCCGGCCCGCCCCCCTCTCCCCCGCGCGGCGTGCGCCTACCGGCCCCCCGCGGGCGGGGCGGACCCCGAGCCAAGGGACCCGCTGCCGCCCTGGTCCCCGGCAACAAAGCCCGAGGCCCTTCGTGCACCCTCGAACAGCAGATTCGACTTGAGAGGTTTCGACCTGAGAGGTTTCGACTCGAGAGGTTGCGTCTCGAGAGGTTGCGGCTTGGGAGGTGTACGATTCAGTAGAGTACTGCTCAGCGGGGCGGCGCCTGCCTGCCGCAGACCATGTATGAGCGTGGTATGCGAAGCACTCGCCTCGACCATCTCGCGTGGAACGCGTGGAGCTGCCTCGTTTCCGCCTGGCTCAGGAGTGCCGTGTGCAGACAACAAGACAGTTTCAAGCTCCCTCGACTGCGTCAGCGTGGAATGGCCCCTCACTCGCTTCAACTTGTTGTCGTATCCCGCCCGCGCGGCTCCGCGTCGGCGGCAGAGATCCAAGGCCCACGGCAAATCTTTTTATCGCTCGAAGTAAATCAGCCTAGAGATTGAATGCTTTCTTTCGGCGGCACCTGGGACCCGTCTGGCCTCGGAATGTGCGCGTTGCATCCAACGGCTTGCGCGAATCGAACTGCAGCCCGTGCTGCGAGCACGTCCTTTCAATGCTGAGCGTGCGTGCCGGCGCTGGTCTGGACTCGCCAGACACGTGCACCGCCCCGCCGAGCAGCAGTTCTGGTCAGCGGGGTGTCGCATCCTCCTCCTCCTCCTCCTCCTCCTCCTCCTCACTCCTCCTCCTCTCCTCCTCCTCCTCCTCCTCTCCCCTCCTCCTCCTCCTCCTCCCCCTCCCCCTCCCCTCCCCTCCCTTCCCTTCTTCCTCCCTCCCTCCCTCCCTCCCTCCTCCTTCCTCCCTCCTGGCACGTTTCGCCGCGGCAGGCGCAGACCCCGAGTTCCAGCTGCTGCGCCGGCACTGCCTGGCGCCCTGGGGGGGTGTCTCCCGTCACGGACTGGGGCCGGATCTATGCTTCAGCGCCTTCGTGAAGCAGGAAGGGTCCGTTTCGGGCCAGTTCGGCCTCGGGCCAGCTCGGTTTCGCCGCGCCGGTTTCGGCGGCGGGCGGTTTTACAGGCTTCGGTATGGCCGTTCGGGTTGTTTCGGTTGGGCGGCCACAGCGCGGTCTGGCTTCGCATGGATGGACCTGTTTGGCATCGGCGAGCTTGACATAGGGACCACATGGAGGCGTTTCTCCACCGCTGTCGCTGCCGCCGCCAGGCCCCGCTGGGCCCCACCGGGCCCCTCTGGGCCCCGCGGGCCGCCAGACCAACCAGGTCCCGCCGAATCCTCTTCCCTCAGGATTGATTTCCTTCCACGAAAGAACTCAACCATGATGGAAGCGCTGGACCTGTCTTCCAAGCACCTTTTCAGCTGTCGCTGCCAGCTGCTCTGGAAAACAAGAGCCTTGATTCCTCTCGCTTCGCGGGGTGCACGTCCGGAGCACGTACAATCACGTCGTCGCGGGGCCTCTTGGGAGCCTCCTGGGGGCCGCCTGGAGGCCTCTTGGGAGCTTCTTGGGCCTCTTGGGGACTTCTTTGGGGCCTCTCCCCTCCTCCTTTTCATACTCTCTCCCCATCTTCCCTTCCGGCGCAGGCTCTAATCATGGGCGCCGCCGTGACCAACTTCCACCTGGCTGGCGCTGCGCCGCAGTTCGCCCAAGGGGAGAAAAATAACATTACACTCCAGTCGTTGTGTGGCCTTGTGGGGGCTTCTTTGAGGCCTGTTGGAGGCTTCTTGGGGACTTTTTGGAGGTCTCTTGGTTTTTGGTTGGAGCCCCTTGGGGGCCTCTTGGAGCCTCTCGTGGCCTCTTGGGGGCGTCTTGGGCCGTCTGGGGGCGCTTTTGCGCCGTTCCGCCCCTTGGGAGGCCGTCTTGGGGGCCTCTCGCGGCGCCTTGGGGTTCTCTTGGGGTCCTCCTGGGCCGTCTCAGGTTTTTTTTTGACCGCCTTGGGGGCCTCTTTGGGCCGTCTTGGGGCCCTCCTGGGCCGTTTGGGGGCCCCTTTGGGGGCTTCTTGGGCCTTTTTGGGACAATTTTGGTGGCTGCCCGGGCGGCCATGGGCTTTTGAGAGTCGAGAAAGGCGAGAACGCTAAAATCATTAAAAAACTATAGGCAAATTGATGATTTGGCTTCAGGAGGCACTCTTTGGGGTCGTCTTGGGGCCCTCTCGGGACGTCTTAGGAGTTTCTTGGGCCGTTTTGGGGCCATCGTGGACCGTTTGGGAGCCGTTTTCGCCTGTCTTGAAGCCATATGGAACCGTCTTGAGGCCCTATTGGGCCTCCCAGAGGGCCCAAAGTCCCGAATCATCGATTTTACATAGGCTTTGGTACGTTTTTGAGCCCCAAATGGGGGTCTCCATCTTGGGTCGACGGATGTGGCGTAGCCCCTGGGGGGTTAGGGGGGAGACATAATAATGTAACGCAGCACAATATGTGGCAATTATGCACCAGTTGGATACATTGGTACGTTGCATAATCGCCTCCGCAGAAAACGCTGCCGCTCAGCACGTCACTTCCGGACGTGGATTCTACAGGCCTGCGCCACATCTGCCGGCCCCTATATAAGCTACTGCACCTCCAGGACTGCAGTTCACGAGGCTTGTCCGAATCATGACACGGCGCTCGTCATCGTTCCTGTTGCTTCGTTGCTGTTTTCGTACCTCTTGGTGTTCTTTTGTGGCCTTTTGGTGGCATATTGGCCTGTCTGCAGGCCATATCCGGCCGCCACAAGGCATCTTGGGCCAAGTTTTGGAACCTCTCGGGGGCTTCCTGGGGGCTTTTTAGACGCCTTTGAGGTTCTTTCGGGGGTCCCTCAGGCCCTCTTGGGGTGTTCTTAGGGCAGGCTGGGGGCGTCTTGGGGCCGAAGGCTCGAAAAGGTGCCCTCTGGACTCTCTCTTGGAGCCGTCTGGGGGCCCTCTTGGGCTGTCTTGGGGGCTTCGTGGGCTGTTCTTGGGCCCTGGGCCCCCTTCGGCCGTCCAGGGACGATATTGAAGGTTTCTCTGCCCGTCTTGTACGTTGTGAGAGCCGAAAAGGTGAGTATGCGAAACATGTTTTCTTTCACAGGGAATGGGGTGACTTGTGTCTCTTGGGGCCCTCTTGGGACGCATCTTGGGGGCCTTTCAGGGCGTCTTGGCAGCTTCGGAGGCCGTCTGGAGGCCATCGTGGGCGTCAAGGAGCGATATTTCGGTGACTCGTGGCCCTCTGGGACAGTCTGGGGAGCGTTTTGGTGCCTTCTTGGCCCGTGTTGGAGCCCTCCGCTCCCCCGTGACGCGTTTGGTCCGGGGTCGCGCCCGGGCCGGGGGGGGGTCAAATTGCCAGTTTGGGGTCCCTGGGGGGGGGATGAGGGGGGGTGATAGTCTCACACGCCTACAGACCCACAGGGGGTCGGCGGATTATGATTGTGATCGTCCTCGTCCTGTCCTTTCTTCCTCGTCCTCCTCCTTCTTCCCCTTTTTTTGCCTTCAGCAGGGTTCGAGGCGTTGAATGGGCGATGGATTAGTTTTCGTCATGTTTGGCCTTCTGGGACTGGCAGACATCGACCCAAGAGACAAGAAGCTGGACATGGGACACAGCACCGGGGTCCGAGTAGATGGAGTCGGAGGGTCGCGCCCCGTCGCCCCCATACCTCCGGACCTCCCAATTGGAGTCTGCGTAGATGGGGTCGCAGGATCGCGCCGCATCGCCGATGCATCGGGGAATCTGGGACGCATCGGCGGCGTCAGCGACGCATTGGCGCCGCCGGCGTTGAGAAGGTCGGGCCCCGCATCTGAACAGGGGGGAGGGTCGAACGCGGCCAAGACGAGGATAAGTCAGTTTCAGATCGGGTGTAGCCAGGACCCCAGGTAAGGGGACCCTGTTAGTGGTAGGGCCCCAGAGTCCCCAAAATTGCCAGAGTCACTAAACCAGGTCTGTCGTAGCTGGTGTTTTCTCGGGTGACAGCAATTCCGGTTAGTGGAACGGGGCGGGGGGGGGGCGTCCCCCAGTACACATCACTAAACCATTCCACCAAACCCACTTCTGCCAACGCCCGATCAGAGCGGTCCAGAATGCTCTCAGAGCGTTCCAGAACGCTCTGAGAAGGCCCCGGCGCCCGAGACATCCTCCAGAGCCGCCAAATCTCTGAGATTCTCGACGTATCCTCACCCGTCTTTATACTCGTCCTGGCTTCGTCTTCGGGGGGATGCCATGCAGGAGGGCGCGTGGGGTGCCGCGCCGAGCCGCGCGATCGGAAGTGGCGCCGTGCCACGGCGCGGTCGCGCCTTCTCGCCGCGTCGTCGTCTCCGTGGCCTTCTTCCCTCGCCCTGCTTTCCCTCCGCTTTACCCCCCTCCGCTCCCCTCCTCCGTTCTCTCCTCCTTGCCCTTTGTCTTCCCCTCCTTCGACACCCTCTCCATTCCCTCCTCCTTCCCGTCCTTTACCCTCCTTCTTCCCATTATTATTCCCTTCCTTCTTCCCCTCCTCCTCCTCCTGCCCCCTCCCGTCCTCCTTACTCTCTTTCTGTCCTTCCTCCTTCCCCTCCTTCCCCTCCTTCGCCTGTTTCTTTTCCTCCCCCTCTCCTCACTATCCTTACGAATGACGGATCTCTAAGGACGCATCAGTTGACATCCTCCACTAAAGGAGCTATCACCAAGGGTCCCTGCGAGTTTCGTAGGGCGGCGGGAAACAACAACAGACGAACGGGGGAGAAGGCTGGGCGGGTGACACCTTGGAAACCACGCCGACACCAACAGCAAAAAAAAACACACGCCGCCACCAATATCACAAACCAGTAGAAATGCAGGGGGGTTTTTCACTCTTGAACTTCCGGTCCCTTCTATCCTCCCCGACCCCTGTTCCGCTTCCTTCCCCTGCCTCCTTTTGAGATTCCTGCGAGGAGGAGGAGGAGGACACTGGGGATGAGGAGGAGGAGGAGGAGGAGGAGGAGGAGGAGGAGGAGGAGGAGGAGGAGGAGGAGGAGGATGAGGAGGAGGAGGAGGAGGAGGAGGAGGAGGAGGATGCGACACCCCGCTGACCAGAACTGCTGCTCGGCGGGGCGGTGCACGTGTCTGGCCAGAGCCCTCCACGCGTGCAGCTTCACCGTGTCCAGGCTTCTGGCATCAAGGAGGAGGAGGAGGAGGAGGCGGAGAGGGAGGAGAAGGAGGAGGGAGGAGGAGGAGGAGGAGGAGGAGGAGGAGGAGGAGGAGGAGGAGGAGGAGGAGGAGGAGGAGGAGGAGGAGGAGGAGGAGAGGAGGAGGAGGAGGAGGAGGAGGAGCAGGGTGATCAGAGGTGAGGACGAAGAGGAAAAGTGGGACGAGGAGGGCGAGGACGGCAGACGCTTCAGGCGTTGCCCGATGTTGGGGCGCAGCAGTTAAAGGAGCAGGAGGACAAGGAAGGAGAGGACGACTGCTCCCTGCGCGCCCTCCGTGACCGCTCCCTGCGCTCCCTCCAGTGGGCCCCGCGAGGTGCTGACCTGCAGGGCCTTCCGGGTGTGGGTGCAGGGCTTCCCGAGGGTGACCGGCGGGCAGCCCGTCCCTTCAAAGAAGGATAGGTGAGCAAAGGCAGTGTCGATGTCACGCCAGCTGGACGACCCCATCGACGTGTTGCCGTTGAAGACTTGTCAGGCTCGTACAGTAGGCGACTGAATGACACGCACAGTTTGAAGGACGTCGCGCGTGTCATGGATACCCGCATAGGCGCATGCATAGGCATCAGCTTTCCGAGCTGCGCGCGGATTCTTTGGGTCCTGGCCTCCTGGCAGCGCCGCCGCATTCTTTGGCCCAGCGCCGACCCAAGAAGTCCGCGCGGACCTCCAGCAGCTTGTGCTGGTGCCGCTTTCTGCTCATCAGCTCCCGCTCTTGCCCCTGCTGGTCGGCGCCGCGCGCATGGGGGAAGGCGGAGGGGGCGGGCCTTGTCAGAGGGCTCAGAAGGCCTCCAGCCGTCGGAGAAACTCCCTGAACCGTCTGCGAGGACACGCAGTGCTGCTCCGAAGGCGCATGGATTCTGAGAAGCCCCGCCGCCTTCCGAGAGGGCCTGTACCCCATCGGCGCGCCGCCGAGAGGAGGAGGAGGAGGAAGAAGAAGAAGAAGAGGAGGAGGAGGAGTACCAGTGTAAGCTCAAGACCCATCAACGATACTGCAAGATACCCTCCGTCCGAATTCACTCTTCATACGCTCTGACACGGAGACATTTGCACTGAGGGAAGTGCCCCGTTGGAAAACAATCGTTTAAACATTTGGAATTGTGCCATATTGCCGTTTCTGGGGCTTCGACGCCGTAAATCATCATTCTTGCTGCGTCTTGATTTTCCTGAACCGTGCCATAACACCATTCTTGCGACTTCAACACCGCGAGTCAACGTGACCGTTGCGCCCCGACGTTCCGACATAGCGTCAACACACCATTTCTGGGACGTTGACCATGAGGAGAAGCTTTGAAACTGCTCCAGACTCTTGAGGCGAATGTGCGTGGCGCTGCGCCGAGAGCGACGGTTTGAACATAAGCCGCCCTCCATCCGTGCAGCTCTTGCAAAGTTCTTCGACGAGAGTGCGCGGCGCTAATGCGAGCTCGCATTCTGAAAAGGAGCCGCCCTCCATCCGTCGGCACTCTTTGCAAACCTGTTAGACGAATGTGCACGATGCTAATGCGAGAGCCACCTCTCAAGAAAAGGATCCGCCCTCCATCCGTGAAACGCTTGCAAACCTTTTCGGGAAGTGTGTGTGTGTGTGTGCAGCGCTAAAGCGAGAGCCACATCTTGACAACGGATCGTCTTCCATCCGTGAAGCTCTTACACATTTTGAACACGAAGGTGTGCGGCGCTATGGCGAGAGCCACATGTTGATAACGTACCGCCCTCAATCTGTGAAATTGTCGCAATTTTCAAGCTTCAGGATCATAACTTGTGGGGGCATCTCAATCTAAACGCCTGGCCCGCCCTTTTGACCAGCCTCGGGGTGCGGCAGGGAGGAGGGATTTACAAAAACGGAATGGAGGACCAGTGTAAATCCAAGACCCATCAACGATGTTGGAATGAACCCTCCTTCCAAGCTCCATGTCCATAGACCCATGTAAGGATTCATTTCCACTGGGGGAAGTACCCCGTTGGGAAGCAACCGTTTGAAGATCCTGAAGCGTGCCAGAACACCATTATCGGGGCTCCACCGCCACGGATCAACTTGATTGTTGCGTCTTGACGATCCTGAATCGTGCCAGGACGCCACTCCTGGGACCCCATCGCCACAAAACAACGGAATCGTTGCGCCCTGGCAATACTGAATCGTTTGAACATGCAGTTTCTGGTACGCTAACCAGGGGAACCCGTTCAATTTTCGCAAAGTTCTGAAACGAGTTTGCGCGGCGCCAAGGGGAGAGCCACATTTTGAAAAGGAGCCGCCTTCAGTCCGTGGCACTCTTGCACATGCTCAAAGCGAATGTGCGCGGCCCAGCGGCGAGAGCCACATTGTGAAACGAGACCACCCTCCATCCGTGAAGCTCTTGCAACTGTTCTAAAACGAATGTGCCTGGCGTTCAGGCGAGAGCCGCATTTTGAAAATTTACTGCCCTCCACTGGCGAAACTGTTGCCACTTGTAAGCTTCATAATCTTGCGTGGTGAGGACGTCACAGGTGAAACGCCTGGCCCGCCTTTCCTATTTCCCCGTGGTGAGGCAAGGAGGAGTTATTTATACGGAAGAGGAGTGGAGGAGTATGAGGAGGAGGGGGAGGAGGAGGCGGAGGAGGGATGAGGCTGAGGGTGAGGCGGGGAGGAGGGGGAGGAGGGGGTGTAGGAGAAGGAGGAGGAGGAGGAGGAGGAGGAGGAGGAGGAGGAGGAGGAGGAGGGCGCTCCGCTGATCCTGACAACCCGATTCCAAGGGTTCCATGAGCAGCTGCTGTTGGCCCCCCGACTCGGGTCGACGGCCGAGCGGGAGGGGAGGGCGTTCTGGCGGGGTGGGCTCGCCAGCCACTCTCCCTCGCCCTCCAATCCTTCGCCCCCCCCCCCCCCGCGTCCTCGTGCCTCGACGGCGCCCTGTGCTCACAGTGACTGCAGTACAGTCGTAGGGGGTCGCTTTGGGATCGGTTCTCCTCCCGCCATTTGTCCCTCCTCCTCCTCTTCCTCCTTCTCCACTCCTCCTCCATTTCTTCTCCATTCCCCCTCAATTCCTCCATTCCTTCTCCTCATCATCCTCCTCATCCTCATCCTCGTCCTCGTCCTCCCTCATCCCCCTCCTGAACCTCCTCCATCCTCCTCAATCATGACTAACCCCTCTCTGTCGCACCCCCAGACCTGTCGATAGGGCGTGCCAGGCGTGTCGTCAGTCATGATTCTGAAGCTTGATATTTGCGCTTCAGATCGGTGCGCGTTTGTTGAACAACGCAATCCGTTTCAACGATGAGGGGGGAATAGTTTTCAACATCGGGCTTGTGCTTGAGCTTCAGCGCCGCGCACATACGTTTTAAGCACATCTCACTGCTACAGGGGATGCCGTTTTCAAAATGGGCTCTCGCCTCAGCACCGCGCACGTTCGTTGTTTTTTTGTTTGTTTTTGTTCTGCTCCAGCAATGCAACAGTTCCAGGGAGAGCAGGCCGTTTCCAAAATGGGGCTCTCGCATTCGCGCCGCGCGCATTCGTTTCAACAGTTTGCAACAGTTTCGGCAATGAAAAAAAAGGTTGCTCTTGAAAGTCGGGCTTTCGTTCGAGGCGTCTGCACGTCTCAAGGTCAGGAACCAGATGTTGTTCAGCAGCGGCACCGATGGAGGCTGGCTTCTGTTCAAGCTTGGGCCTCCTTCTCCTCCTCCTCTTCCTCCTCCTCCTCCTTCTCCTCTTCCTCCCTTCTACCTCCCCGTCCTCCTCCTCCTCCTCCTCCTCCTCCTCCTCCTCCCTCTCCGCCTCCTCCTCCTCCTCCTTGATGCCAGAAGCCTGGACACGGTGAAGCTGCACGCGTGGAGGGCTCTGGCCCGAGGCTGCCTCGGCGCTCGTGACCAGGGGGGCGAGCCCGTGCAAGGGCTGCCCAGACGGGGCTGCCCTTTCTGCAGAACCAGGATCGCGCTGGACCCTCGTGGAGGTTCACACCTCGGCGCATTGTTCTGTTATTCCCTCCTCCTCCTCCTCCTCCTCCGCCTCCTCCTCCTCCTCCTCCGCCCCTCCTCCTCCCCCTCGCGAGAAAAGGGCAGGGTGCTGCCTGCTCAAGAAGCACGCACACACTCACACGGGGATCTCGCCTCAGCGCGGCAGGCCCACAGGGTGCTTGTCTTCCAAGGGGGCGGCGCTTCTTGAAGTGGGAAGGAAGGCCTGTATGTAGGGACTCCTGGTGGGGGGGGCTTGGGACGGGAGGGAGTTCGGGGGGGGGGGGGAATCGGGGATGGACAGAACCCCCTTTGGTAAAAGGTGGTTTGGTGAAAACGACCTCGGGCCCAAACCTGGCGGGCGCAAGCCTGGAAAATGACTGCATCGGAGGTGAGTTCTGGGTGGTTGAGGAGCGGTGGGCAGGAGGCGAGAAGAAGGTCAGAGGAGGAACATATAATCTTCCGATACCAGTACGCGTCTCTCGTCGCTACGGCCGGATTCGCTTCGGAATCCCAGGCCAGAACGGACTCCAGGGGAGATCCAGAGAGCAGCGGCAATGGTATCTTTTGCATCCCCATGGGGGACGCGGCAGAAGTGTTAGGATGCAGCTCCTGGGAGTTCGAAGTTAGCATCGGGACGCAGTGGCCGAACAGCGGCTTGGTAGGCTCTCTCTCACTCTCTCGCACGCCGGACAATTTGCCTATCGGTGCCCCCGCTTCGCCCCACGCTGGTGCGGACTGTCTCTGCCTCGCAGCCGACGGGCAAACAAGCTTCATCCGGCATCACGCCATGGGTTTCCCGGCGGCGAGGGCATCCCGAGAGCTGCCTCCCGAGAGGTGGAGCAGTTGCGGAGCGCGAGGCGGAGGGGGCGGAGGAGGGCGGCCGAGCGAGGGGCCTCGTGGGCGCCGCCGCCGCTCGCTCGCTCGCCTGCTGCTCGGCGCCGAGGGCCGCGGGAGCCGCGGGGGTCTGGCGGGCCGATCGGGCGATAGGCTCGAGGACCAGGGGCAATATTCGAAGGGCGACGGGCTCGAGCGGGCGGAAGGGCTCGAGATTCGAAGTCTTCGGCCGCTTCCGTCGGTTCCCGGTCATTTTGTCAGCCTCGGGATGCCTTCCAGCGGCAGCGCCCCGCCGAGAGAGTTGCAGGGGTGCTGGATCGTCCCGAAGGGCCGCCGGAGAGCCGAGTCATGACCCGAAGACTGCGGTCAGGGGCAGCGTTAGGGGGAGATCGTGCCGCAACGCCCCCCAATCGCGAGTTGATCGCCAGTCCTCTTGGGGCCTTTTTGGAGTATCTTGGGGGCCTCTTGGGGCTCCTAGGGGGCCTCTCGGGGCCTCCTGTGGGCCTCTTGGGGCGTCCTGTGGGCCTCTTGGGGCGGAAGGCTCGGATTTTCAGTTCGTGGTTCCTCTCCTGGGCCCCTCTTTGAGCCGCCTTGGGGCCCTCTCGAGCCGTCCTGGGCGCCTCTTGCGCCATCTTGGGGGTCTATCGCTGATCTATCGGCGACCTGACGCCAATGCCAGGTCGATATTTCTCCCCCAGAGCCCGTCCCCCTGCGGCCCCCCTCGGGGGTGGCGCCGCCGCCGTCTCCCCAGCCTGGGCGCCCCTAAGATCCTGAGATCCGACGCGGCGAAAAAGTTGCAGCACCGCAGGGAATCACGACAGGAGCCCCAGACCCCATCTTTCTGCGGTATTCCTCGAGCCTGATCGCTCTGTGATGGTCCTGGGGCCCGAAAAAACATGTAACGCCCGGATTTCACGGAGGAGCTGAGGTGGGCAGGGGGGTCGGGATCAGGGGGAAACATCGATTTGGTATCGGCGATACAGGGCCCCTATCGGCGATGACTAAGGCGATTGGGGGTCGATGCATCCCCCTGTGAACCTATCCCCTCTATCGCTGCCCCCAAGTTTTCGGGTCAGAAGTCGGCTCTCGGACGGCCGTTCGGGACGATCCAGGCCCCCCCAGAACGCTCTCGGCGAGGCGCAGCCGCTGGAGGGCATCCTGAGGCCGGAAAGCCGCCGAGGACCGACGAACACGTCTGAAGTTCTCGAATATTCTAGCCTTTCGTCCCACTGAGCTTACGACTCGAGTTCGCCAGACTTCGGGTTTGCCTACGCTTTTCGACGGGCCCGTCTTGAGTTCTGAAGGTTCATTTTTCGTGGGATGTTGGCAGCGGGAGCTCGCGCCAAATTTCATACGTGGTCTCATAATTTTCTTGACGGCCCCGTCAGGCCAACACGAGTCTCCCGAATCCGAGTCTTGCGTCTCCCCGAGAGGTGACAGGCGGGCAGCTCCTCCGCCCGCTGCTGCGGCACATGCGCATGCTGCCGTGCCACTTCGTGCCCGGGCTGCTGCTGTTGTCCACTTGTGGGAGTCTGCGGCCGACGCCCGCGCCTCGGCCGCGGCCAGCCCTCCTCCTCCTCCTCCTCCTCCTCCTCCTCCTCCCCGCCCTCTTCGTCGTCGTCGTCCTCCTCCTCCTCCTCCTCCTCCTCCTCCTCCTCCTCCTCCCCCTCCTCCTCCTCCCCCTCGCCGTCGTCCTCTTCCTCCTCCCCCGCCTCCTCCTCCTCGTCCTCCTCCTCCTCCTCCTCCTCCTCCTCACCCTCCTCCCTCTCCGCTCGTAATCTTTCACTTTATGAGTTGGGCCCAGCTGCGCAACGGCTGGGATGCTGTTTTTGCCTGGCCTGAGCCTGAGTGGAGAGAGGTGTCAGGCCCAGTTTCAGCGCTCAGGCTTTCACTTACGAGAGTGAGTACAGTGCCGTTTTTAATACATGCTCCGCGTGCGGATCATGTATTACAAATGTTGGGATTTAGTATTAAAGTCAACGATGAGTTTATGCATAAGTTTATTCATACATTAAGCATATATTAAACAGTTTTTTCCTACGTATTGAAGACTGGCCTGTACGTATGACGAACTGCGTGACACGTGTCAGCGATTTCGGAGAGGCCATCCAGTGGATCAGTATCCCTCCTGTTCTGTTCACAAAAAGATATTAAAAGATATTGCGCCTGGCTTCCCTGCGCAGTTTCGACGGGGAGACTGCCAGCAAGCTCCGCCGTAGTTGTCAGCGTTTTTTTTGTGGTTAGGAGCATGTTGATGTCAGTGCAGATTTCCGTGAAGGGCAAAGGGTGTATCAGCAGTCTGGTTTGCCGCGCTTTTTGGACTCACGATCGTGCTGAAAAGGCTGGATACCAGGTAGTGAATGTTTGCCCCTCGTATGGCCAATGCGAAGATACGGTGCACCACATGATTTGCATGTGCCCTTGCGTAGACTCCCTTAGGGAGGAACTGGCCAAGCCTGAAACCACCCTAGCTGCTGCTACCGCGGATCTGTCCGAACCCTTTGAAGAGCTGCTGTGCACTAGAGGGGTATTCCATCACCCGTGTGACAGTTTTCCCAGACCCGCCCAGGAGGATAGTGATTTGCGGACAGGGATGTGTTGGGATGTGGTCTTCCTTGGAGCTGTTAAGTTAGCAGGCGATGCTTTTCTCGACGGCAGTTGCTGGCGGCAGATACGGTATGGCTATCATGCGGGATGACGGCCAGGGGCTGGGTTGCCTGTTTGGGCTTGTGCATGCCCCGTTTTCACAGACGTCTCAATGTGCAGAATTGGCTCCTGTGGCGAGAGCTGGGCTCGAGGCTGAGAGTGACGACTCTCTACTCTGATTGCCCCAGTGTTGCCAAGCAGTGTTCTAGCCCAGGTCCCGTACAAATCAGTTATTTGCAACCTCGTCCGGACCTGATGATGATGATGATGATGATGATGATGATGATGATGATGATGATGATGATGATGATGATGATGTTTCCGTGTGGTGGTGGTGGTGGGGGGAGTCGTCGTCCAGTCGGTCGTTAAGCCGAAGGCGTACCAAGACCTGCTGGAAGCGGGCATCTCAGACAGTGAACGCTGGACGTGTACTGGCAACCAGGAAGTCGATGCGGCTGCCAAGCTGGGTGCGAGTACGCATCCCGCACCCGCTGAGGTTGAGCTACACGAGCTCTCGCAATTTCCTTGTGTCCAAGGCGGTGTGTGCGTGGGCGGCAAATGTGCTCCAGAGGTGGCCCCGTTTGGATCCCGCGGATTGCCGTTGGATTGCCCCCCGGGCTCTCCCTCAGGCTTCTGAGGGACCTCCTCGTGCGTGGGCCCAAGTGGAGCGCTGTGGGCTCAGGGCTGCTTCTTGGCGTTGTCAGAACTATTTGCCAGCGTCCAAGGGCAGAGGAGTGCACCAGCGAGTTGGAGGCGTCTCCTCTAACGTTTTTCAGCTATATGGCCCCTCTCTTCGGGCTCTGAATCACAATACGGTGTCCATTTTTTTTTGGGCCCTTGGGCATGTGGTTTCCATCTTCGGGCGCTCGGTGAAATCTCAGACGCAGGGTTGGAGACGCTAGCGTTGTTTTACCTCACTTGCGAGATGCTCCTGCGACGGCCTGTGGCGCGAGTCTGGGCGCGCCTAGGATGGCTTGGCAAGCCGCCTGGAGGCCAAATGTTAATCGCTTTGTAATGCGCTAGTCCGAGTCCGAATATGGGTTCGCATCTTTAGATTTATTTCTAAGCCATGGCAGGCCAGCAATCGTCATCCTGCTCTTTTGGGGCTCTGGACCGTCGAGGAGCTCATCCGACGCTTCGTTCGCTCATAATGTCGAGGCGGTGGTGTCGGAGCGGTGGGGGAGCACACTGTGTCCGTTATCGTAGACATGTTCGAGTGCTACGAGTGTATCACTGTTGAACGCTTCTTCGAGGAGGCACGAGTTTTACAGTCTCCCCTGCGGATGATGTGGATGCTGCTGTTTTGTTACAGGTGTGCAAGACACATCCAGGCTCGTTGGTCCCGTGGCGCAGGAGTTAGATCTAACCAGTCGGTATTGTGTAACCGATCCCCATCCCCATCCCCATCCCTTTCGAGACCCCCACCACATTACCGCCCCAATTGGTGATACACCCTTCGAAACCCGAAGGTAACGACCTATATCCCCATCTAGGGGGGTAAATCGGCCAGAGGGGCCCAGGCCACGCCGCTGGGGATGGGGATCGGTTAAACTATACTCAACCAAGGGGTCCTAGCAGGCTGCGGACACGCTAACAAGATGGTGCATGTGCTACTCCACCGTGTAGGAGACCGTGCCTGCGCCCTCTTTACGTCCATCGCGCCCAGGATTTTGATGGACGACGCTAGCTTCCAACAGGTAGGGCGTGACTTGAGAAATGCAGGCCCACTTGGCCTCAGCCAAGTGGTTTTGCCACAACGCCTCCTGCTTAGGTCTGATGCTGCAGATTGTCGAGAGGGGTTTCGTGGCCTCGACGGTGCGGGCTGCAGCTAAAGTAGGCGCCACAGCCACGATCTTGCGTCTCAGAGGTCTTAGACATGAGACACATCGGGCACCAGCTTTTCCCTGGCCGCCCAGTGCGCCTGCAGGAGCGCAAGAGGCCTGAAGGCGTGCAGAAACCTGAGCGCAAGCTACCCGCCTTGAGGCGTGGAGCCCTGGGTAGGTCGGCATGCTGTTGCGCGCGGGCTTGCTCCCTGCTAGCGCCCCACCAGCACCCTCATGGCTCCAGGACGCTTGCTGGTATCTCGGCAGGAGCCAGGAGTTCAGCATCCCTGAGTGCGCGGCTTTTGTTTCAAAGCCTGGTCGGGAGCTGGAGAATTCTGTGCCGCCTGCTGTTATAGAGGGCGGGGGACTGTCACACCTGCTCGCGCAGGCCAACACTGGTCGAAGGATTTTGGGCCAAGCCCTACCGGCCTTGATCCAGAGTGGCCTGAGCCATGTAGAGGGCGGGGGAGGCGCTGCACCTTCGGGAGTTGCCCCCGCTCCCCCCCCCCCGCAGGGGCAGCTGCATAGGGCGGGAGCGGCGCTGTACCTCCGGGAGGTGCCCTTGCTGCGTCCCGTGCCACAGTCGTCGCTGGCGCGATCTCTTCCGTGCTCGACGGCGGCTGTGGAGGCAGCAGCTGTTGCAGGTCGTCGTCGAGTCCCTCCGCGAGGAGGAAGACGACCTCCCGCTCGTTGCCGCCACTGCTTCTGCGGGGTCAGGCGACTCCGACGGGTCCTTGCCGAGGGGGGCCTTGCCCGTGGCCAGTCGCAGCTGTGAGGCAAGGCTCCGACATTTCTTATGGTGCCCCCCCCCCACTCCGTCACTGTTTCGCCTGCCCCCAGTGGGCTGGCGAGGTGCCCGCCCGAGCCCAGGCCAAAGCTGCTACTCCAATCTGCGCAGCCAACCCGCTCCCGTCAGACGGTTTCGCTCCTCCTTGCTCATCCTCCTGCTCCTCCTCCTCCTCCTCCTCCTCCTCCAGTTTTTAGGTCCGTAGCCATTTTGGCTCAAGATGCCAAGTTCCTCAGGGGAACAAGTGGATACCGCCAGTCCGCGGCGGGCAAGACCCCTGTGGTCTGGCAGTCCTTTGCATCGCACCTGCGCTCGGGTCGGTGGGTAAACGGAGGCTTTTCCCGTTCCTGCCTGCTCTAACGCTCTGAGTACTTCATGGGCGGCGGCCGCAATGGAAACCCTCCTGCCATCCGCGGCCCCACGAGGAAGGGCAAGAAGGCGCGCCGTGGCCTGCCTGACGCTCCTGATGTTCTGGGCATCGGCGCTGATCATGATGATGGGGCCAATGCTGACGCTTTCGTGCCTCCTCCCCCTGCTGCTTCTGGTTCGGGTGCGGCGTCCCCTGTGGCAGCGGCAGAGGCGGACGTGGATAGCAGCAGCGAGGACGAGTGGACCAAGGACGATTACATCAAGCAAATGGCCGCAGACGACGTCGCTAAGAAAATGACCGAGCACAGGGACGAGCTCATCCGCGACCTCACCAATGTGGTCTCCGCGACGGTCGCCGACCAGATCCATGATTTCGCTGCTCAGCTTACTAAGCATTCTCGCGCTGCTGGGCAATGGGCTGAAGGCGTACAACAGCTTCCAACCATGGCCAAGCAAGCATCTGAGCAGTTCTGCGAGAAGCTGGACGCCTTCCACCGCAAGTTCCAGGAACATATCGACGGCCACTCAGTGCGATTGCGATCCGTTGAACACAGGCTGGATGGGCAAGACTCTGAACTACAAGCGCTGCGTGGTCAACTTCAAGAATTCCGTGATGCTCTTGCCATCGCCAACGTCAAGCCCAAGCCCCCCCCCCCCCACCAGCGCGGTTGGCTTTGACAGGGACATCGATGCAACAATCATCCGTGTCATGGCGTCTAAGCTTGTTGAATTATCGGCAGTACAGCAAATCATGCCAGAATGGGTTACCAGCTGCGGGGCCAAGCCGGAGTTCTTCTCGATCACCTCAAGTGAGCAGGTCGCCAAACAGTTCATTATCCAATTCTCTGGTCCAGCGGGCCCCGCTGCCCGTCGTGTCTCTCAGGTTCTGGGCGCCCAGCGCCTGGCCCCTGGCCAATG